AGGTGCTTGAGTATCAGAGTGTTCCATCTCATTTCCCTTTGGGGTTGCTGTAGGTGATCTGGGAGTCTGGTTTTGAGACTTATTTACGTGTTTTCTCATTTTGACTTGGGGGCGGGCTGTTGGTGCCTGCACGGATTACCCCCTCTGAGCTGGGAGAGGTGGGACGGGGGCTGGGAGCCAGCGGTAGGGATGGTGTCCCGGAAGCCCCTACCTCTGGGCCAGGAGCAGTGGGACAGAAGGTGGCCCAAAAGCCCTTTCTTCTGGGCTGGGAGCAGTGGGAGGGATGGTGGCCGGGAAGCCCCTTCTTCTGGACCAGGAGCAATGGGACGGCGTTTCAGAAGCCCCTACCTCTGGGCCGGGAGCAGCGGGACTCAGTACTGTGGTCTGGTGGTCCGGTGTTCTCTGCGTCTTTGTAGTGTGGAACCAGGTGGCTGTACAGAGGAACCGGGGTGGGGGGGTGGGGGGGTGTCCAGTGGATTGTTGCCGGAGCGCGGGCAGATTCGGGTCTTCTGCGTGACTCGGGACCTCGGTAGGGCGTCATTGGTTAATTTGTTGATAGCAGCCATTCTTTCTGAAGTGAGATAGGATCTCAGCATTGTTTTAATTTCCATTTCATGAATGACCACTGTTGTTGAACATTTTTTCATATATTTACCATTTCTAATTCTTCATTTAAGAAGTGTCTTTTCATTTCAGATGCCCATTTTTGGATTTGGTCTTTAAATTTGGGTTGTGTGATTTTTTTGAGTTCTTTATCTAGTCTAGATAAATCCTTTATCTGAATAGCTGGTAAAATTTTTTCCCACTGTGGGGGTTATCTCTTCACTCGGTTGGTGGTTTCTCTTGCTGTGCAAAAGCGTTTTAGTAAGATGAGGTCCCAGTTGTTGATTCTTTGTAGTATTTCCTGTGCAGTCTGGGTTTTGTTCATGAAGTCTTTGCCTACTCCTATGTCCTCAGGTGTTCTACCTGTTCTCTCTTCCAGCAGATTTAGTGTTTCTGTTTTAACCTTTAGATCTTTGATCCATTTTGAATTTAAGTTAGTGCATGGTGAAAGATATGGTCCTAGTTTTGATCTTCAGCATGCAGAAAGCCAGTTTTGCCAGCACCATTTATTAAAGAGCCTGTTTTTCTTCCAGTGAAGGTGTTTGGGTCCTTTGTCAAAGATAAGGTGGCTAAGTATGTCTGGAGTTGTTTCTGCATCCTCTAGTCCGTTCCATTGATCCTCAGGTCTGTTCTTTTGCCAGTACCATGCTGTCTTATCACTGTAGCTTTGTAGTTTAATTTAAAGTCAGGGATTGTGATACCCCCCTGCTTTGCCTTTGTTGCCCAGAATTGCCTTTGCTATTCTAGGTTTCTTCTGGTTCCAAATGAATTTTAGGGTTGTTGTTTCTAGTTCTGTGAAATACGCTGTTGGGATTTTGATTGGGATTGCACTGAATCTGTATAACAATTTTGGAAGTTTGGCCATTTTCACTGTATTGGTTCTTCCTATCCAAGAACAAGGGATATCTTTCCGTTTCCTGATATCCTCTTCAATCTCCTTCAGAGTACTGTAGTTTTCAATGTAGAGAGAGGTCTTTTACTTCCTTCATTAGGTTGATTCCTATATATTTTAGTTTTCTGGATGCTATTGTGAAAGGGATTTTTTTTTTTTTTTGGTAGCGGGGATTGAACTCGGAACCTTGCACTTTCGAGGCAGGCTACAGAACCACTGAGCTAAATCCCTGGCCCAAGGGATTTGTTTTTCTTAATTGCTCTCTTTGTGAGTCTGTTATTTGTGAACAGGAAGACTATTGACTTTTGAGTGTTGACTTTGTATACTGATGGAGTTCTTGACACACATAAAATGCTCAATTCATTTTTAAATCAAAATTAGATCACCTGGGGGCCGGGGATTTAGCTCAGTGGATTTGCCGCCTGCTGCACAAGCGCAAGGATCCGAGTTTGATCCTCAGTACCAAAAAAAAAAAAAAAAAAGAAAGAAAGAAAAAAAAAAATTACATCACCTACTTTTCATAAAGCAGATTGGGTGGAATTGCCCCTTTAAAATTAAAGTTACTTGGATAATGTGGGACTCAGATTCTTTAACTACCCATGTGACGTGGGTACTGAAAAATCAGAGTGGACCCTACCAGTGAGTAACTGAGGCACGTAGAGCTAAGTACTTTACCCTTTTACCCAAAGGAAAGCAAAGAGAGCCATCTTCAGAGGCCAGACAGTGGTCTCTGTATTCTAGAGATTATGTTGTTTTATCACTGATCAAATAGGTATTAAAATGTCTGATGACCTGCTATAGAAAACCTTTTCATCTCCAAAGAAAAAATCCAGAAATAGAGTTCAACTACTTCTGTTCTGTATTTGAGCAACTATCCTGAAGTACAGAAGTCATGTACTCTATGCTTGCCTTTCATACTGAGTTCATAATGGTTTATAAAGTCCATGATCTGTGATGAGGAGTGCCAGATCTGGAGACAGACTGCCTGGGTTTAAAACAGACTCTTCCACTAGTCTCACTCTGGTTTTGGGAGCATAGACAAATTACTCAACCCCTAAATTTCAGTAATTGGTGATAGTTACAACAGTATCTAACGGTAAATGTTAGCTTTTTAAAAAATCTGTAACCCTGTGAAATAAGCAAGACAGTTATTAGCCATGTTTTACTGCTAAGAAATTTGAAATATATAGATGTAAATTATTTGCCCAGGCTTTTATATGGTTTGATGTAGAATCTGAAGCCCAAGTTCAGTGTTCTTTCCACTGTATTACACTACCATCAGCCCTTTGCTTCTTCTACACATGATACAAATGATTATCTCTTCAGAGCTTTGAGTTCCTTTTAGGGTCTTGTATCCAGTATTTAGAGTAGTGATTCTTCCTTTTTACAGTGTTTGAAGATGTTTTATTATAAATGTTCTGAAACTTTCAAAACAAAATTAATTTTCACTCACTTTAGTTGCTCTAAAAATACAAGTTTTTCACTTTGAAGTTCTGTAAAAGAAAGTGTGCCATGAAACCAAAATAGTTACAGCTTGTGGAACCTTCAAGCAAGCCGAAGATCTCATCATTTCAGAACAAGACAAATTTTCCTTTGTCATTCAGACAAATCGAAGTGAAAATGGTGAGAGTAGAGGTGTCTAGGTGTGCATGCGTGTGTGTGTGTGTGTGTGTGTGTTACTATAGTCTTCTTTATTTTATAATACAGAGAGACATAACCACTTGAAAACATGAAGGTTTTTTTTTTTACATAAATGCACCTATACAGTAAAGCCAACAAAAACTATCAAATCTTCCTTTACAGATTTAGCTACACATGTCCTATCTTTTAAAATTTTTCTATAATTTGAATCTTCATGACAGAAAATGTAAGAAAAATTGCAATTGATAGAAGGATATGGTGATAGAATTGGGAATAATTTAGACAGTTTGCTTCTTCTCTTTGTTGCTGTTTTTATAAAATAAGCCAGTTTTCAGCACATATACTCTGTGACCTAAATATTTATGGAGTGGTTGTATTTGACTGGAAACTAAAGAAACACTAAACTTTATCATGCAGAGAATTATTGATGTTTTTTCTGTTTAAAATTGGGATTGAATCCAGAGCCTTATATATGGTAGGCAACTACTGTACCACTGAGCTGCACCCCCCAGCCTCATCCTATTTTTAAAAAGGAGACGGGATGGATACCTTCTCTCTGCTCTTCCTATTTAAAAATATTTTAAAATACTTTGAATAAAGCTTCTGTTTAGAGCTTAGTTTAGAAATGACTCCCTGTTTTTGCTCATCACAGATTGACGTGTTCTAGAATAGTTCAGCCTTGTTATCTCTACTCCTTCCTTCAAACTGAGGAGACTCATTCTCTGTACCCATCGCCAAAATCCAGTGATAATATACTGTAGACTAAGCAAATAGCAGTCAAAGCCAGTTTACAATTTTTATATATCTTTTATCAAACTTTATTTTGTTTAGGTTGCCCCATCCCTGTTTACCTACCAGTTGTTTCATATTCATTCAATACCTTTTTATATAAAAATAGAAAACATTAAACGTTTTCCCTTAATTAATTCTTTCCTAACACATGGATTTATACATTTACCCAGTATATTTTATCAGATGTCTTTTTTTATTTTTCTTTTTCTAGATTTAGTGGCTGTTTTGTGCCCAAAAGGTCCACTTCGAATGCTAGTTGAAACAGCTCAGGAGAGAAATGAAACTCTCTTTCCGGCTCTCATTTACTCCTGTAAGTATTTCAAAATGATGGTAAGTTAGTCATCAGCTTAGAATTTGTGGAACTCAAACACATATAATTTATGGTCATTATCATGGCACTTTCTCTCATCTTAAATATATACTATCAATGCAGATCTTTCGTTTCCTTGCTAACTGTTATTACATGCCCTTGGTTCAAGAGTTTTCAATATGAGTGCAAATGGGAAATACCGAGAGATCAAGAGCCATTATTTCTGTTAAAATTTATTAGTCAAAAAGTATTGGGAGCTGGGAATGTAGCTCAGCAATGCAGCGTCTACCTGGCAAGCGCAAGTCCCTGAGTTCAAGTCCTGGTACCAAAAAAAAAGAATTATTGAGCAAGTCAGGTTTAGTAGCACATGCTATAATTTCAGCACTCTGGGAGGCTGAGGCAGGAGGGTTGTGAATTCAAGCCCAGCCTGGGCAACTTAGTGAGACCCTGTCTCAATAAAAATCAAAGGGCTAGGGATGTAGTTCAGTGCAAAGGCCCTAGATTTAATCCCCAGTGCTGCAAAAAATAATGAATGAATGGGCAATACTATAGATTAATCTTGCCATAACTTACTGCAAGAATTGTACTATTCTTCAGAATGTGTTGCCCCTGTTTTTGGTCTCAGAGTCATACTCTTCCTAATCATTCACTAAATACTGATTAGAGATAGTACTAAGAGATGAATTTGGAAAAACAGATTAAGGCAAGATCAAGGTTATCTTTGAGTGATTGGTTCAGATATCTATTTCCTATTCAGTGGTCACTGAGGAGTCATAGAAGGTTCTTGAAGAAGAGTAATGTGATCAGAGCTGTCTCAGTATGCCAGCAGTTGTGTAAGGCAAATTGCAGGAGTGGATACTGGATGCATATTAAACATCACTAAGAGGATATTCCCTTGATGTAGATGGAAAATACTGAACCTCTGAACTATGTTACTGGCAATGGGCATCAGGGGAAGGACTTGCTGAGAGGTGTCATAGAGAGAATCAGTACTGTTAACACCTAAAGAGAGAAATTTTAAACCTGAAAGAAAGGTAGTGAAGAAGAAACTTTTCTTGTTTAGAGATCTATTTAGTTTTGTGTACAGCTGTGGCCATCTGATTTAATTGTTGAGATGTGTGGGCTGTCCAGATAGAAATTTCCAGCAGGAGAGAATGAGATGTGGTAATGTACACTGTAATCCCAGCTACTTGGGAGGCTAAGGTAAGAGGATGACAAAATTTGAGGCCAGCCTGGTCAACTTAGTGAGACCCTGTCTCAGAATGTAAAAAGGGCCAGGGGTGTAGCTCAGCAGTAGAGCACTTGCCTAGCATGTGCAAGATCCTGGGTTCAATCCCCAGTACCTCCAAAAAAAGAGGGAGGGGAACCCTTAATCCCCTGAAAGAAAAAAGCAAGTTCCAGCAGGGTTCAGAAATGAAGTACCAGTGCTTGGGGAAAAGCTGATAACAGAGAAGCAAAATCAAAGAATCAGCACAACGGTGGTAGTTAAGCTCTGTGACTGAGTGCATAATTCAAATACAAGTAAAAGTGCCAAGTGTAGAGCTTGGCCAACTGCTGCATGTAGAAAGTGAGAAAACGTAGAATACTAAAGAGAACAGAAGAAAATACCAGAAAACCAGAAAAGGTAGTGATTTTCAATTAGCCAGCCATTCATGACTATTTCATACAGTCATTTCATCACTTTTTTCATGTAAGTACATGAAATGGCTGTATAGTATTCTCTTATAGTTATTCAGTAATGAGTGGCCTTTGTAATTGGCCTTTAGATCATATCCATTTCATTTCTATCACAAACATTGCTTACAGATAAGATTAATTTGTGAATATTTTTGCAAGGCACATTCTTAGAGTGGAGGACGTGTACCTTTTAAGTCTTGATAAATATTGCCAAATTGCCCCTTCTTTTCATAATATGAAGGCACCACTTTTCCTTACCCTTTCATTCATACTAGCTTGTATACATGTGTGTGCACACATGTGTACGAGATCCAGTAGGCAAAGAAACATCTTATCTTTGTATGCATTTTTGGTTTATTAATTGCTTTTATTGATAATTTAAACAGTTTTATGTATTTCTTAGATACATAGTTGATTTTTGCATATCTCACTTCACTTGGTATAATGTTCTTTTCCATGTTTAAGTTAATTTTTAATTATATAAGCAGTACATTAATACACTATCCTTAAAAAAAGGTAAAAGTTAAAGATAATAAATTTCACTATAACTGTCATCCACAATCTTTTGTTTGTTTGGGGGGTTTTTTGTTTGTTTTTTTTTTGGTAGCGGGGATCGAACTTGGGTCCTTGCACTTGCACAGTGTTTTTTCTTTTTTAATTTTTGAGACAGAGTCTCACTATGTAGTTCAGACTGGCCTTGAACTCACTGTGTAGTCAAGGCTGGCCTCAAACTTGTGACAATCATCATGCCTTAGCTTCCCGAGTGCTGGGATTACAGGGATGCACCACCACACCCAGCTGCAATTTTAAAACTTTATCATGTGGTTATCCTCCTTATCAGTTTGGTGCATGTTCTTATAGTTTCTATTTTTCAGTCTTCACTTTAGTTTTTGGTTTGGGGGGCTTTTTTGGTTTGTTTCTGCCTATTTTCTTCTGGATTATTGAAAAAGCAGAGTTTCAAGGAAAGTCTCTCAAATCCATAAAGAAGTCAAAGGTAATAAAGACTAAATCCAATAGGCATCATTAATGACATTCAGGAGAGCAATTTCAGTACTGTGATAAGACCAGATATAATATTCCAAAGAGAGGACTGTGTGTGTGTGTCTGGATTTTGCTGGTGCTGGCAGTGGATGTGACAGTGTAGATTGGGAATGGTGGGTGGTGCAGAAGAGGTGTAGTGAGTACCACCCACTATTTCCAAGCTTCCTGTCCCATGGGCAGAGCAGCTGGTAACTTGAGAGCAGGTTTGAGGAAAGGTAATTTCCAGGGGAGGGAAGATTTAGTCATTTTCTAAGGCTGACCAGCAGTCAGTGAAAAGGGGCTTTGAAGAGACCCTAGGAATTCATGGTGCAAGGTTCTAGACAGGGCAGGTAGATGTTACCCTTAGAGTTCAGGAAGAGGAGCTGTGTCTGGACAGATGAAAACCTGGTCTGAAGGAAAAGGGAGACTGAAAAGCAAAAGAGAGACAGAGTGAGGAGGTAAAGCTGGGACCACACATTAGGTGACCCTGAACTTTCTTTTTTTTTTTTGGTACTGGGGATCGAACTCAGGACCTTGTGCTTGCAAGGCAGGCGGTGGAACCACTGAGCTAAATCCCTGGCCCTTGATCTTTCTGATAAATTCAATTTTAGGTCATTTGTAGGGGAAGATGGGGGTCATCCCTGTAACTGGTAGTTTTAGAACAGCCATTGTCTGGAATGCAGGATCTTTTACTGTTTTTGCAACATAAACTGATTATCATGTACTCACTGTGTTTATTGGCAGAAAAGAGCCATGAAGTTTTGGGCATCAGCATTTTCCTCTTAATGAACACCTGAGTGTGAACTTCTTACATGTTACTCCTGGAAATTATAGCCTACATATTTTATGTTGGTGTATACAAAATGTTTCATGAAATGTTAATAGTAAATGCTAGAAATTTATACCAAGGAAAGTACTTGTGAAAGTATAGAAAGATGTTCTCTGTAGCAGTGCTTATATGAGGGAAAAACCAGAAGCAACCTAAGTGTCCATCAAAAGGGGGCACTTTTAAATAATCATGGTACATTCATACAATGGATAACTGTGAAGCCATTAAAAAGCATAGAGTAGGGCTGAGGATGTAGCTCAGTGACAGAGCATGTTTTCAGCATGTGTGAGGCCCTGAGCTCAATCCCCAGCACCACACACACACACACAGAAGGATATCTCTATATATGTCCAGTTATTTTTTTTAAATGCCCAAGACTATATATTAAGTACAAAAAAACAAATTTAAAGCAGTACATGCAATAACCTATAGGAGAAAATAGGAAACAGTATTTATGAATATCTCTATATTTAAAATACTCTGATCCATTAAAGAAACTGAAAATTTATTAATAGTGCTTACCTCTGGGAAGCAGGATTTAGAGATTAAGCTGTTAAAATTCTCTTTATACTTCATCTACTTGCGTATTTTTAATTATTTATAATTTTTCAGTTAAGGATGCGAGAATAAATGTTTAGTACATATGTAAATTCTTTGTATTATTTTTACAACTTTTCTTTGGACCTGAAATTATTTCAGAGTAACAAATTTTTAAAAAGCCTTTAGACACATGGAAAGTGTAATAGTGATTCTCTTAAGCAAATAGAACAATGTCATGTTTTGCTTACCAGATAGTTCACTTCTGTTCTCGCAGCAAGCCCTTGTTAAACATCTTATTGTGTCCAAGGGATATAAAACAAAGATCAATAAATAAATCCTAGTTCTAAGCAAAAAAGAGGGGGAGATTGGGGAGTTTTTTTTAAAGGTCACTCGTTGTAACCCAGGTAGCTGGGTCATTGCCTCAGCTGCTGTGACCTTCTGGTGGTGGCTTTACTTCTTGTTTCCTTTACCAGCCTGGACCCTTAAGCTGGGTGAGGATGTGTTCTGCTGGTGGTTGGAAGTACAAGAGGTCAGCAAAGCCTGAGGTCTAGACTCAGTGTTAGCAAGCTGTCATCTCTGGTATGCAGTTGACTCTGGTTGAAGCTGACCCCATAGTTGAATAAGGAGGAGGGAAAAATCCATTCAACTCCATGGCAAGTGTGGGCGCCATAAGGGACAAGGATTTAGAACACACTTTCAACATATCTGTCATATATAACATCAAGTCTGTATAAGTATCACAGAACACTTGACATTCACAAATATCTGAATGAGAAATCAACATGTATGGGGAAATAGTGCAGTCCTTTACCTCTCTGTAGATCAGATAGATTCAAGATAAATCTATTCTCATGAAATACTAAATCTGTGGTGAGGATTTTATAAATTATTGAGTCTGAGAGGTTTTTTTAAACCTAGAATTTAAATCTTAAACATTGAACCTAACTATTAAATTTGATTTGGTTCATGACCAATTCAGTTTGCAAATTCAGAAACGTGGAAAGAATTAAGTTCATGAACTGAGGCACCACTTACATACTGCTTCATTGCTAGGATGGCTATAGAAATTATATGCAGTAGTTGTCCTTCTATTTCTCTTTTGGATTTAAGTAGTGTATTTCCTGCCTGGCTTATATTGACTTCTAATTAGATGGGTTATAGTATAATAAAACTTGTTTGACCTCAGAAAGTATAAGACTGGTGAATGAGTAAGTGTGGCTGTAATGGAATTTTTAGCTTCTTTGGTTGTGTAGTTCTTTCATAAATTCTTCAAGAAACCTTAATTTCTTCAAAAGCATGGATGAAATTATAGAGGAATAGTATGAAAAGCAAGAGAGCTATTCAGGAGGCTGAGGGAGGATAGTCACAAGTTTGAGCCCAGCTTGGACAATTTAGCAAGACCCTGTCTCAAAAATGTAAAGGAGTGGGCTCAGTGGTAAAGCCTCCCTGGGTTCCAGCTCCAGTACTAGGGGAAGCAAAACAGCCAGAAGCTTTATTTCTGTGTCAAGGGTTAATGCACATTTAGTTTTGTTAGATGTTGTCAAATTCCCCTCCCACAGAGGCGATATAAAAGAGAGAAGCATCATTTTAAAGTATTCGTGCTCTCTTCATTGTATATGGAATATATATATATACATATATATATTTGTAAAAAGAACATAGAAGAGGCCAATTAACTCTCCTCTTCATGTTTATTGCTTTTTGGGGAGGGTAGGTACTGGGAATTGAACTCAGGATCTTGTGCTTGCCAGCAGGTACAGCACCACTGAGCTACATCCCCAGCCCATGTTTATTGCATTTAACCTTTCTTTACTTCATGTATGAACAGTTTAGCATTATTAAAGATTCCAAAAATTAGACATAACACGAAGGAAATTTATTCCATGCTTCTATAGAATAATAACCATCATCTGAGGCTTTTGTGAGTCTCGGTTTGTCCTGGAATCTAATTCCAGTACCACTTCCCATTGATAGGCTTCCACTGCTTTAGGACATCCCCTAAGAGGCCATTTCGGCGTCCCTCACTGGCCTGAATAGGTTTGCTTTTCAGTGACAACAAATGATGTTTCATGGTAACCGCTACAGTGTGAATGTGATAGCAGACATTCTGTTTCAGAGGTTTTTTTTAATCTCTTAAAACCAAAGAGAATCTTCTGTGGGTTTTACTGTACACTGACTTCTGATTAAGGCTTCTGAGGCAGCATTACAAAGATTGGTGATTTCCACAGAGAGATAATGGCTTACTATCTATCTGTTCTAGTTTCTAGTTTCTAATGCTGTGTTTCTAGTGCTAATGTGAATTTTTGTCTTTCCCAACAGCAACAATGGTATGGTTGGTGAATATGGCTGAAGGAGACCCAGAAGCCCAAAGAAGGGTGTCCAAGAACTCCAAGTATAACACACAAAGTAGGTGACATTTGCTTGGGAATATCCTGGTTCTGCAGGGTCATTGTCATCTCACAGGTGAAGAGTGAGTTGTAGAGCAGTGCTTTTTAACCTCTTTCTTTTGGTCATAGACTGCCTTGAGAATCTCCTGAAATAGCTATGGCAACCCCCAGTAAATACACAGATAAATATATAAGAAGTTTGGAGACCCCAAGCCCAATAATCCAGTCAAGGCATCCTCGGTTAAAAATAAAACACCATTAAATACATAATGCCGGTATGGAAAGGATCACGTTGTGGCTATGATTTTTTTTTTTTTAAACTAAGCTCTTTCTCCAAACATGTAAAGTTAAGAGCCTGTTGTCCAACGTGACTGGAGTAATAAATATACTTGATTTGAGATGTGATAATAGTTATACTGAAAAGGTCAAATATTCCGGGTGGATGTGACTTTCTGGAAGAGGATAATAATGATGACCAAGGGTAAGAGCTTGCAAGGCCTAACATGGATGCTACAAAAGGAAGATACAAAGGAGAACACAAATTAGAAGCTGTTCTTAGAATTGAGATATAACAACACAATGTAAGTAGTACAGAAGAAAAGAAAGTTTTTTAAAAAAGAAAACAAAGCGCCAACCTTATAAGAAACCTGAAAAGCGAAGCAAAGCTAAGACTAGAGACTGCACACTAGGAGGCTGAGGAAGGAGGATCACAAGTTCAAGTCCAGCCTGGGCAACAGCAATTTAGTAAGACCCTATCTCAAAATAAAAAATAAAAGAGGTGATGAGGATGGAGCTCAGTGTGAGGGCCCTGGTTCAGTCCCCAGTAACCCTCCCCCCAAAAAAAACACTAGTGAGAAAAGAAAATCTGCATGAGTTGTGTCAGCAAAGGGAGAGTTTGGAGCCAAGAAAACTGCTATATTAGCATTTGGGTAACTGGAGGGAGCACTTTCTAGGGATTCCTAATTTGAACCCAATGATATCAGGCTTTATTCTGCACTGTGTAAGGCAGCAGAACAAGGTGGCATTAGACCAGTAGGAAACCTAGTAGAAAACCTGGAAATAATTGGAAACAGTTGCTACAAGCCTGGTTATTGTGCTTCACCAAAGAAAATTAAAATGTTATCTGTGATTACACATGTAGGTATTTATATGGATTTGGTACATTGAGGGGGTTTTTGTTTTTTTTGTTTTTTGTTTTTTTGGTACCAGGGATCAAACTTGGGACCTTGCACTTGCAAGACAGGCAGTGGAACCACTGAGCTAAATCCCCGGCCTGGTCTCTTGGCTTTTTGACAAATGCTGATTGAACACCTGTGTGCCCAGTACCATTCTAGGCTCTGGAGATAATAGCGCTAAACAAGACATTTCTTCCTGTTTTGAGCTTATCATCTTTTTGACTGACAGGCATTTGAATAATACCATAAATATTTTATACAGCTGTGATACATACTATAAAGAAAAAGTATAAGTTACTGTGAATGTTTGTAGTAGGAATTTTATTTATCCTGGACTGTTGAAGTTACAGCAGGTGACGGCTCACGGCAGAGTGGAAGAAGACCTTTGCATGAGAGGGACCTGTGGGCAAGGGCTTTGCAGAGAGGAGGAGCTGGATGACTGCGGAGCTCCTCCCTGAGAGAGCTCAGCATTGAGGGAGGACTTGCCTCCCTGGAGAGTAGGTGGCACCCCCACCCCTCACTCAGTGCCAGTAGTGGCTCTAAGTCATCGCAGTTGCCAAAGTCTCCTCCACTTTAGTTCCTTCTGCACACCCTCAGCAAAGGAGGTACAATCTCTGGTTGAAAACTACCACTCTGTTGGAGGAACTGGAAGTTAGAGATTAGAATAGAAGGGCTTTGGGCTCTGAGAGGGTCTGTGCAAGGAAAAAATAATAGATCTGAGAGGTTATTTGTTGTTTGAACTCTGTCAGAGAGTTCAGGACAACCCACCCATAGGTAATGCATAGAAAATAGTCAAGGGGAGAAATGAGGCACTTTTCCAGACAAGGTTGTTCCAAAAAAGCAAATGTAATTATACATTGGAGCCATAGCAAAGTAGTTTGGTTGTGAATACTTTTTGCAGAGTTCAACAAAATGGGAAGACAGGAAGAGTAAAATTTATATATATGGCCGAGGGTGTGAATAAGTACCTAAAATTAAGACATCAAGACCTGGCACCATGAGCATGCTATTCATAATTTGAAGATAAATGCCAAAATAAACTGCTAAGAGTTGAAGGTAAGGAGGATGGGATTGAAGAAGGATTAGACAATTAGACACTGGTGTTTTTATTCATAAATCTTATATGATTTTGTAAACTCAACCAGCAAAGATTCAGGTTTTATAGAGACCCCTTTAAGAAAAAATATGAAAATGAGCAATACAAAATTGCTTCGAGCCCTCGCAGAGGAAGTCTATGCACTTGAGAGCCCTAAAGTGCACAAGCAGTCTTTATTCATGATAAAGCTCCTTCCACAGTAATGCATGTTACTTTTACAGAAAATAAAAGGGAGGGCTGGGGGAATAGCTCAATAGTAGAGTTCTTGCCTAGTACTGGATGTGCGAAGTCCTGGGTTTCATCCCCAGCACTGCAGAAGAGAGGGGGGAGAAAGTATTACGAATTTCACTTACACACTTAAATATCTTTAATGTATGGCAGTTTTTTACAGTCATGCTCACCATCTTCAGTCAGACTGATAGCATTAAAACAGAATGACTGGTCATAAAGAAATTCACCATTCCCCACGAATCCTCTTTTATATTTAGTCACTGAAGCCAATGATTTGTGCCAGCAGGCAGGAGCTTTCAGCTGCAGAGAATGGAAACAACTCAGGTGCCTTAGAGATGAAATATATTCTCTTTTCTTGAAGAAGTCTTAATGCATCAGCATTTGTGGGGTTGGTTAATTTGGGGGCTCATTAACATTAACAAGAGCCTAGTTCTTTCCTTCATCCTACTCTACCATCTGTAGCACATCGGCATGGTCCCCAGCCAGCTACTCCTCGTAGTCACAACTACTGCAGTTCTAGGAATCATATCCAGATCCCAGGACATAAAGGGGGAAAAAAGGACTGTTTATTTCTTCCTCAAAAAGAAGATAAGAGAAAAATTCCCCAAAATTGCCTATAGGCTTTGCTCAGCACTCATTACCTTGTAACTGTCACAATCCCTCAGCCATCGGACTTTGATTGGGAAGAGGAATGAATGGTGGGATCGCTGTGCTTGGCTTGGCTTGGCTTGGCTTGTACAAAGGAAGGAAACTCAAGCAAACCAGGAAACAAGGGGGAAAGGGCCCCTGAATGGGCAGCCAGTCAGCACCTCACAGCTTATCCTGTGGGTTAAAACCTACTTACTTCGCCTCCTGCTGCGCCAACGCAAGGACCCAAGTTCGATCCCCAGTACCAAAAAAAAAAAAACCTAGTTACCATAATAGGTTGTTACCTTTTCCATGTATCTTTCTTAAAGACGTTAAGAAATACTTCAAAATATTAGAGCTATAATTTCTGCTTTCTCTTTCTTGAAGGCACAGAAAGGGAGGCACAGGACACTGGTAGAGAGAATGACGATGGTGGCTTCAGTGAGGAATGGGAGGCACAGAGGGACAGTCACCTGGGGCCTCATCGCTCAACACCTGAGTCCAGGGCTGCTGTCCAGGAACTGTCCAGCAACACTCTCACCAGTGAAGACCCAGAGGAAAGTATGTGCAAGGAAAACCCAACTTCTGGGCCGGGTACACATTCTTCACCTTCTTAGGATCAGCACATACATCACCACCTCTCACTGAAGGAGTGTTAACCAGACATGGTCACAGGGAAGTCTCCTAGACTCTAGAATTTGGTTTCTAAAAGGCACGTTTTCAAAACAACCTCTAAAAAATTAACTTTTAATCCAGCCACAAAAGACTTAATTTTGTATGAGTCTATTTATATGAAACATCTAGAAAAGGCAATTTAGAGCTAGAAAGCAGATGAGAGGTCACTTCCAGCCAGGGGCTCAGGGGTTGTTAACTGTGAATGGGTGTAAGGTATCTACTGGATTGGTGGAAACATGGACCATGATAGTGGTTATATAACTCTACATTTCCCACAATCATCCAATCACACACTTACACAGTGGTGAATTTTATGAAACAAAGGGTACCTCAGGCAAGCTGTTTAGGGGTCCTTGTGAGGAGGCTTTCCTAGAACAAATTTTAGGTATGAAGTAGGCATTCAGTGGATGACAGTTAGGATATGTTGTTGGAATAGAACAGCAACATCTATTGAGATTCCAGAGTCAGTCGCATAGAATCTGAAACTCCTTTTGTGACAAACCAAAACAAGAAAGAAAACCTAGTAAAGCTAAGCATGGTTGCACATGGCTATAATTCCAGTACTCTGGGGGACTGAGTCAGGAGGATCACAAATTTAAGGCAGGACTGAGCTACATAATGTTTGATACCAGCCTAGAACATTGAAGACCCTATTTCAGAAAACAAAAGTAACCTAGCTAGAGCTAGATTATTTACCATTTATTGACTTTGCACTCAGTGCTGAGTCCTTTTTCTGTTTTTGTTGTTTGAAACAGGATCTCTCTGTTGTTCAAGTGGTCTCCAACTCGTGGTCTCAAATGATCCTCCTGCCTCAGCTTCCTAAGTAGCTGAGACAGTGGGCACACACCCTCACACTCAGCTCAGAATCATATTTTTGAATTATAAAATCAGAGCAAAGAATAACTTTTTTTACATTAAGAAAACCTTTCCTTTTTCAGGGGGAGTAAAACTTGGATTGGGAGATTTCATTTTCTACAGTGTTCTGGTTGGTAAAGCCTCAGCAACTGCCAGTGGAGACTGGAACACAACCATAGCCTGTTTTGTGGCCATATTAATTGTAAGTATATACTAATAAAACTGTGTCAGGACATATGATGTGAAAACTGAGTTCTGTGTCCCTTTAAGGCAATTAGTTTTAACCCCAGGTGAGCCAAGTGTGCCAACCACCTGAGAAACTTTTTGTAAACCTGTATAATTGGGCCTGAGCTGAGTTGGTCTCCACTTGGACCTCTTGTGAAAATTACATGGGGCTGTTAAAACTGAGCTCTGCCCTGAGATGTCTTCATTTGTTTTAATTGTGTAATTTTCATTAGTTCTCCAGGAAACTCTTGAGTCCTTTGGGTCAGGAAGCATGGCCTGGAGCCCAGCACAGTAATGGCTGGAAGTTTGCTGTGCTAGAGCTCAGTTGTGAAGGGGCAAAGGGGCCACAGACCCCCTGTAGGTTTTAGCAAAAGCGTGAACCCTGACACTTTTCCAGCTGTGGTTTCAGTAAACAGCCCATCCATTATTTCTTCCTGATCCTTGTGCTAGAACTGTGATATTGAGGATGAATAGTGTGATGAATAGTGAGGTTAGAGGAGAGTTTAGGTGAGAACTTACGCATTTATTTTGTGGTTACGTCTGTGATTTATTGTGATAATAACCAGTTAGAATTTTCATGTATTTTATTTGCCTTCTAAGGTTAGTTTTCTGTCTTTGACAGTATTTATTGGCTGTATTGTATCTTTGTTTATTTGTTTTTGGTGCTGGGGATCAAACCTAGGGCCTCATGTACACTAGGCATGTGGCTCTATTGAGCCATACCCCAGCCATGTGTGGTATTTTTTTAAAAATCACTTATTCTCAGTAAATTGAAATGGTGCTCAGCCTGCAGAGTTTATAGCTTGTGTCTCAGTAAATAGAGTGAAAAATGAACCATGCTGTGTACCTGCTGTATGTTCACAAGAAAGCAGTGTATTCTTCATGGGCTCACTTTGTTATCAGTTTTCCTGTGAGCGTCTCTTTGTCCCTACATGGCACAAGGATTGCTCTTTGCCCCTGGGAAACTAACTAAAATAAAATCACAGCCAAACTAAAATCACAGAGGCCCACACAATATCGTAGATAGAAATTTCAGTATTATTTAATTTTTTTCAAATTGTTTTACTTATTTTCAGATTCTGTTTCTTTCCTGGAATTAGGAAATAAAACATCAACAGTGTGCACAGTCAACTCTGTGTAGTGAAGGAAAATTTGTCAAAAATTTAAATTTGCTAGGTACAGTGGTGCACTCCTGTAATCCTAGTACTCTTGGAGGCTGAGGCAGGAGGATTTTAAGTTCAAGCCCAGCCTGGGAAACTCAGTGAATTAGTGAGACCCTGTCTCAAACAAACAAAAAAATTTTGTTTAAAGGGCTTGGGATGTAGCTCAGTGTGAAGGCCCTGGATTCAATCCCCAGTACCACCAAAAAAAAAAGAAAGAAAGAAAAAGAAGCTACAGTTTTGGTGGAGCACACATCTAGCATACATCAAGCCCTAGCTTCATTCCCCAGCACCAAAAAGCAAAAAGCAGCAGCTATGTTTTTGTTGCATGGCTCTTCTTCCAGATTTAATGAAACATCTGCTCTAAAATTTAACCCGAGGAAAGTATTGAGTTAACCAAGACTTGTACTGAGTTGTTTTGCTTGCAATGCTTTCATAATTACACATGAATATGTGCCTTTTCCTGTCTCTCTTCCACAGGGCCTGTGCCTTACACTGTTGCTCCTTGCCATTTTCAAGAAAGCACTACCGGCTCTTCCCATCTCTATCACCTTCGGGCTTGTTTTTTACTTTGCCACAGATTACCTTGTGCAGCCCTTTATGGACCAGTTAGCATTCCATCAATTTTACATCTAGCATACTGGCTATTAGAATCTCATGGATGTTTCTCCTTTGACTATAATACAATCTGGAAGGACACAGTGATTTGCCTGTGTCCTCATCTAACCAAGTCAAAACTCCCGGCTGGACTTTGGCAGCTTCCTTCCAGGTATTCCTGACCACCTGTACTATTAGACATTGGGAGGAGGCATCTACAGAAAATGGTTTTGAGCATACTTCATCATGGTGGACTATGTCCCTCGGTGCAAACCTACAGATTTGAGGGACAAGGACAAGGAAATACGATGGGCCAAGAAGTTGCTGCGTTTCTACCAGCAGTGTGACCCTTGGTTGCAGGAGATTTTACCAACACTGCGAACTCTCAGGACTACCATTACCAAGAGGTTAAATGAAGTAATTGAAACCAAACAGAACTCTTTACCTTAAGTTACATGTTGGAAATCAACCTAATAAATCTGTATTAATTGAATTCTGAACTTTTCAGGAGGTACTGTGAGGAGAGCATGTCCCAGCAGCAAAATGGAAAGGTCGAAGGGGTCTCAAGCTTTCACTTCCAGACTTTTTTGCTGCAAACTTAATTTTTATTTATTTATTTTTTGGTACCGAGGAACGAACTCAGGACCTTGCGCTTGCGAAGCAGGCGGCGGAACCACTGAGCTAAATCCCCGGCCCCAAATTTAATTTTTAAAGAAGACATCCCCTCCCCCACTTTGTGTCACAACAGTTTCCTGTTCTCAAGCACCCTGTTACCATTTCTGGTTGCCATTTCTTCTCACCACCAGTCTGAGCTTATTTGGGGTTGCTTTATCCTGAAAGTCTTAACCTCAGGTTCCAAATTCAGTAATTTCTGGAAATAATGGAACTATTACTCAATAGTTCCTTATTATCCCTAAGTAAATTCTGGATTTTCCACCAAATTCCTAATTTTCAGATATATTTACATGTTTGCTCGCCTCTTCTGCCCCCGTCTTTTCCTTCATCCCCCACAGCAGTTCTCTTCGACAACAAAGGAGGCAGTTCTGGCATGCCAGGATCAGGCCCTGTTAATCCAGAATTTTATTCTTTGGTGCAAAAAAAATGTGTTATGAACCAGTGCTATCACCCTTGCTATCGTAACTCCTTCAGTAGCAAATAAGATATGTGCCCAGAGAGTAGAATTAAAGAAGAGTGAAATGGCTGGTGAAGCACTTTCTGTCCTGGTTTTTCTTTTTGTCTCTGACAGGTCAGAATTTCAGTGAGGGGCAGGGAGAGTACTTCACTGGGAGAGTGCTTGCCTGGTATGCCTTGAGGCCCCTGGGTTCTAGCCCAGTACTCAAAAGAAAAAAAAAAATCTCAGCTACTTAGGAGGCTTAGCAAAAGGATCCCCAGTTCATGGCCAGTCTGAGCAACTTAGTGAAACCGTGTCACAAAATAAAATATAAAAAGGGCTAGCCATGTAGCTCCTTTGGGTTCAATTCCCAATACTGGGGAAAATTTTTTGGACACTTGTATCAATACAGAACAAGCGTTTGGAGACAGCTATTATTTTACTTGGTGAGCTATGAGAGAACACGGAGTCAGAAGAACTAGCTGCTAAGGTGAGAAAGAAGGGTCCCCCATTCAAGGGGCAGTAAGCTCACGGTTGGGCGATGGAAAGTAACCTTACAGTGGGCACTTTGTAGCCCCCCAGCTACATCGCTGTCATCTCAGTCTACTTGTGTGACATGAACTGGTTGGACAGTGGAGGTGCTGGCTGAAGTCAACTGTGTTGTCCAGGCAAAGCACTTCAAAGAGCCAGCAGCCAGTGGCACCTCTAGTGAGCCCTTTGGAGGCACAAGCATTCCTTACCACAGAGAACCCTTGGCCATGGTCATAGAGTAAGTGTTTGTAAGAACCCGTTTCTTCCTGTGGCTGAAGAAAGGCCAGTTTTTCTTCTGTGCCTGCTACTTCCCCTCCTAACCTATCATCTGACCTATTTGGGGTCTTCTTTGAAGTTTGGAATATTGTTTTCAGTCATGGGGATGTATCTCAGTGCTGGAGTACTTACCTAGCATATGTGAGAGGCTCTGAGTTCAATCTCCAGCACCTCAAGGAGGAAAAAAAGAATTTCAGTAGTAGGGTGCTAGTACTAACCTGAATGTGAGTAAAAACTGGCTTGTCTCAAGTCATTGAGCAGGAAAAATAAATGCAAGGGAAGAGTGGGGCTAATGGTAGTAGGTCCTAGCATCTGTTTTTCATTAATCCCTTTTTTTTCCAAGATTCTGTCTTTTCTGCTCTCAAATGGCAACATTGGTGTCAACCTTTATAAAGCACAGGTGTAGCAAAACCACCTGCACACCATTTGTCATTCAAGGCATTTTTAGCTATAACCTAGAGTAGTTGATTTATGTAAGGGTCCCAAGTGTGTTGTATTTTTCATGGTAAAGAGAATATGTGATGATTTGTGTGTGTGTGTGTGTGTGTGTGTGTGTGTGTGTGTGTGTTGGTCCAGCCTACATATTGTCCTATGTAGAAAGATGGCAATAATCCTGTCTCTTCAAGTTTGAACCACATCTCGATCTCTGAAATATACGATGCCAGTCTTCCACCCTGAAAAACAGTATCACTAGAGAAAACAGCAGCAGTTTTGCTGAGGATGTGCCTCACACACAGGGGAGGGATGGCTGTGAGCCGGGCAGAACCAACACTAAAGCACAACCAGGACAGCCAGCCTGCTCAGTGAAGAGAAGGAAGATGCAGCCACTATGTCTGGATGGACTGGCCTGAGGATGCAGGCTGTTTACATGGAGAAGGATGCAGTGCCCAAGGGAATGCCAGCTGTATTTGGAAGACCTACAGAATTGGGCCAGAAAGGAAGGGCTCTCCTTCCTGTTTGACTTTCAGTTGGTTAGTGTGTGGTCCAAGGGTCATAACTCTAAATGATTTAATTTCTCAATGAGAAAACATGGAGAGCAGGAAGTTTTCCAAGTGATTTGGAGGAAAATAGTGCTTGCCTAGCATGCGCTAGGGTTCAATCCCCTGCACTGCAAAAGAACGAAAAACCAATTTATCGAGTTTACTACACAACTAACAACTAAAAGGCTATGTTTCCTATTTTAAACTCTTGGATCTCTTAAAATTCTGGTTTTTAGGAGCCCTTCTTTCCGTAATAGATGCCCAAAGGAATATGTTTAGTTCTTGGTGTTTACCTGGCCTTAAATAACTTAATATATATTCTTGATCACAATGTGTAGATGTGAAATAGAAGTTAAACTAAGGAAGACCAGATATGGGTTATCTATAGGAAGCTGCTGCTTCTGCCCCCCAGAACTAGGCTTTGCATGTGTGCTGTTCATGACTGACCCTGTAAGGAAGAGAACTCAGAAACCACTTCAAAAGGATTTGCCATCTTCTAGGTGCCAGGCCTGGTGCTGGGGTCTGAGGATGCAAAGATGAGTAAGATACATTCTGAGAATGCAGCTGGAGCCTCTTGCTTCCTGGCACAACCTCTTTAACGCCTCTTAAAATATTGTCAGTAACCACTTTTCACAGACCATTTACTGAAAGCCTATAAAACTGATGTATAGAGTTGACTTCTTTTAGAAACCAGTCCTTTCAGTACTCTTTTCTCTAAATTTGCTTTTGGCCAGTTTATATATAAGGACCAGTCTTTCTTTCATCCTTGCCTCCAAGGGTATTCTGAATGCCGAGTTTCGGCAGGGACTTGAAAACTAAACATTCAGTTTTGCCCTTCAGATGGAGGCAGTACCCTATCATCATTATAAATTTGAGTCTAGAAGCAATGCTTGTGATCTCATCTCTTTTCAAATTACCAAAACAACAGATTAAACATGATGGACTCAGCTCTTCACAGCCCTCTGAAATCGCTGACTGGAGCTGAGCTTACTAACACTCAAGTTTATGGCTCAGAATCACCTGCCATGTTTTCTTCCGAACAGCATACTCACGTGGTAGGAAATGCCTCAGATTTGCCTAATACAAAACATCCTGGTGCTGAGATGAACCCCTTTCTTGAATGTCAAACCTATTTCCTGGGACCTGGTAACTGGATGCTGGATCCGCCCTGGGTCTTGGAATGTGGTGCTGGCACTTCTGCTTGTCTGGGTAGCGGAGAGATTTCCCAGAAAGCACTTTTTCTTTTGAAATACATGACCTTGAAACTGGATAGCTCCAAACCAGCTGCATGGAGTACAGGATTGTCTGGCTGCTGCAACGGGAGCTGCTAGGAGGAGGGCTTCGGCAGGATCATTCACTCTCATGCAGTCATTGCCTGGCTTCCACTCCTGTGGATACTGCTTTGTACAGAATTCAGACTGTGAATATGACTTTTTATAAATACCTTTCAAATTCATGGTAAAATATAATTTTGATAGATGATTGCACATTTTCCTGTATTTGTCAAATCAATAAAGGCATGAATCAAGCTATTTTAATTTTCTTACACAAAACCATTGTGATGTGGAACTCAGGGCTGACTAGCAGTTACCAAGACAGTTTAGAAACAAATGTATTATTTCTATCCCTTCATAATAAAGTGATATGGATTATAGCAGGCCACACCTCTGAAAGGTGCAATATTAAATCTGTTATAACAATACAGTCCACCTCCATATCCATGGGTTCTGCACCTGTTTATTCAACTATTCACAGATCAAAACCAGGGGAAAAAACTATCTGTACTAAACATATACAGAAATTCCTATTATTCCCTAATAACTTTTTTTTGACAGGAGATTGAACCCAGGGCCTTAGCACTGGGGTACATCTCCAACCCTTTTTATTTATTTTTTAGAAACAAGGTCTCACTAAGTTGCTGAGGTGGAACTCAAACTTGGAATCCTGCCTCACCCTCCCAAAGTGTGGGGATGACAGGCATGTACCACTGCAACCAGCAAGGGATAATTTACATAATATTTCCATGGTATTATGTTATCTAGATGTGATAAAGTATGTAAATAGATTATGTGCAAGTACCATTTTTCAGTACCATTTTCTTTTTTCCCTTTTTTTCTTTTTTTTTTTGGAGACAGGGTCTCACAGGTTTGATCCCCCTGCCTCAGCCTCCTGAGTTTTGGGATTACAAGCGTGAGCACCACACCTGGCTTTTATAATACCATTTTATATAAGAGACTTTGTATAGTACCTCCATAGATACCAAGGACTACTTAATTTCTGAAAGAAATTTCTGAAAGATATTTTTTTCTAGAATCTTTCACATTATTGTAAAGCCTGTCAAAACACATTTTATTTGTTAGAGGATTATCTTAAATAGTTGGGTGGAGGGTATATCTCAGTAGTAGAGTGCCTGCTTTGCACACAGAAGACTCTGGGTTTGATCCCCAGAACGGGGTCACACTTATGAAAAAAGCAACATTACTTTTATTGACCTGGTGTTGAGTGTATAGTATGTCTTCTCCATCCCAGAACTCTACAAAATCTTTTGTTTCTAAAAAATTAACAGCACATACAGTGTTGGGAATGACTGAGCAGAAATGAATTTATGGCAGAAAATCCACAGTTCAGGAGATTTAGAGACAGACAGAGGTGGGTGGGGAGGGAAAGGGGAATAAAAAGAATCAAGATATGTTAAGTATATGTACCTACTCCTAAGACGAATTTAACCTTCGTATACACCAAGCAGGTACTAAGAAAATCCAGTTGACCATTATCTGCAGAAGGAGCAGAGGAAAAGCTACCTGAGCACAGGGCATCCGGGGCAGGAAGGGCAGGGAGGGCACCCTCACTCCTGTGAGGGCTGCAGGGTCCACTGATTCATGAATCCTGAGGGTAGTTTCACAGGCTGCTGCAGAAGCACCAGGATTTGTCTGCCTGCGCCAGGAGAGGTTGCTGATTCTTAGGAGCCCTGGCAACAATGCTCTTGATGAGACCAGAAGGATCTTGTGCAGGACGGAGAAGCAATAGTGAAAAGGCTGGGTTTTCTGTGTCACCAGGTAAGCACCATAGATTTCTTTCAGCCCATTTCACACCATACTCTGGGATCTGCTTAAAAGTGAAATGACAGTATACTTGGATTCAGTGAGTTCATTGTTGACTTACATAAATTGAACAGAAATTCAGAGTAAAAGAGACATCCACAAAAGATGGAGTTTATCATGGCACAATGGCACACACCTGTGATCGCAGCTCTCTGGAAGGCTGAAGCAGGAGGATTGCAAATCTGAGCCCAGCCTGGGCAATTTAGTGAGATCCTGTCTCAAAACTTTAAAAAAAGTACAGGATATAACTCAGTGCAGACAGGATTTTTAAAGCTTTTATTTTTTTAAGAAGGAAAGATGGGAGTTTAAAAAGATCAAGCTGGGTGTGGTAGTGCATGCCTATAATCCCAGCACTCTGGGAGGCTGAGGCAGGTTGGTCACAAGTTTGACCGTAGCCTAGGCAACATAGCAATTTAGCAAGACTCTGTCTCAAAAAAAAAGTATGTGGGAGACACCCAAGGATAATTTGTTTTTGAATGTAGATTTATCCAGAGGAAAATTTGATTAGCTAACCAAGTATGTTTCCAAATTTACTTATATATATATTTCCTTCATTAAATATAGAAACCACAAGGCATGATGACTATCCCAGGAGCTTCCTAACATGAGGAATGTCTTAGGCTTGATAAAGAGCCATTCTCCCAAGCCACATCCTATAAAGAGAGAGGTGGGCAGAACCTCAGGAGCCAGATTTGCTGGAGTCCTAATTCTTACAAGCGGGGGAGACATATTATTTTTGCCTCTGTTTCTGCTTTTTAAACTTTTTAGAATAACATTAAAAGCAGGAAAGGAGGAGAGCTAGTCATTTTGAGCCATTTTCCTGTTAACTTTTTAAAGAATGTGAATGGCAGGTGTTGATCTATGTAAGAACCTTAAATATGTGGGTATTTTACCAATAACTCAGAAAATACATCTGTTTTCACTAAATAATATTAGTCTTATCAAAGAATTACATGAACAAAGATCACTGCTTTTAGGCGGTATTTGCAGCTTTATGACTTTGAAACATCTAATGGAGACTAATATAACCCTGTCTGGTCAGCAATCCCAACTGAAATGTGGTAGCAATATTCACATCTTCATTTTTATTGTATCGAATTTGATTTTTGAGACAGCCTGGCCTTGAACTCACAGCCATCCTCTTGCCTCAGCCCCCCAAGTGCTGGGATCACAGGAATGTGTCACCATGTCTGGCCTATTTTATCAAATTTGAAGCCAGCTTATTTAACAAAGATTTACTTTAGTCATGTGAACTAAAAGCCATTTGGGTTTGTTACTATATAGTTCAACAGTTTTAGCTATAATTTTTATGAGTGCTCATTTATCATTTGAATAAAAGTACTTAAGTGATTTTACCATGTAGATGTATAAGACATACACATACGCATACATATAGCTACATGTGCACACATGAAAATAAAATTGTCATTTTAGAACTGTGCCATGAGAGTGAAGCACAGTTAACTCACCAATTTGAGGCAGAAGGATCACAAGTTTGAGCGAATGTGGGCAACTTAGCGCTATAGCAAGACCCTATCTCAAAATAAAAAATTAAAATAAAAAAAAAAAGTCTGGTATGTATCTCACTGCAAAGGCCCTGAATTAAATCCCCCATACAACGAAAAATCAAACAAATAACTATTTGTTATTTGGATCCAACTGACAAAATGGGGTAAGTTTGAGTCACCTGTTCAAATGATTAACAGCTTTTTTTTTTTGTACCGGGGATCGAACTCAGGACCTTGCGCACTTTCTGGGTAGGTGTGATGCCATTGAGCTAAATCCCCGTGCCTGGTTAACAGCTTTTTTTTTTTGTACCGGCTATCGAACTCGGGTCCTAGTTAACAGCTTTTAAGAGTATTTATGAAGACCTTTTTTTTCTTTATACCGGGGATTGAACTCAGGACCTTGTGCTTGCATGGCAGGCGGTGGAACCACTGAGCTAAATCCCCGGCCCCTATGAAGACCTTTTTAAAGGTTTTTTCATTTCTTCCTAATAGGTAATCTTATGAAGACTGTATGGACCAACTCACAAGTAAAGCAGTTTTGTTTTTTGTGTTTTTTTTTAAGACAAGGTTTTGGGCTGGGGATTTAGCTCAGTGGTTTCGCTGCCTGCCTTGCAAGCACAAGGTCCTGAGTTCAATCCCTGGTACCAAAAAAAAAAAAAAGGTCTTGCTCTGCAGTCCAGGCTGGCCTCAAATTTTGCAATCATCCTGCCTCAGTCTCCTGTATGCTAGGATTATAGGCATACACCACCATGTAAACTGTAATTTCCTTTTTGTTGTTGTTGTTGTTGCTTTTTGAGAAAGGATATTGCTATGTGGTTCAGGCTGGCTTGAACTCATGGCAGTCCTCCTGGGTTAGCCTCCTGAGTGCTGGGATTATAAGTATGTGCCATTATGCCTGGCTTGCAATTTCAATTTTAAAAAACTTCTTTTACTCATTTTTCAATCTCAAATGAATTTGGAAGTTAATTTTTTAGATGTTTAGATTTTAGCAAGTGCTGGCTGAATTGTGTAAGAAAAACAAAATCTTGGCAGGTGTGGTGGCCCATGCCGGTGATATCCGCACTCAGGAGGCTGAGGCAGGAGGATCACCATGAGTTTGAGGTCAGCCTGGGCTACATAGTGAGTTTGAGGCCAGCCTGAACTACACAGCAAGACCCTGTCTCAAAACAAAAACAACCAAACAAATGAGCAAAAAATCTCCATGCATCTCTAAATTTTAGTAACAGATTTTTATTTTATTTTATTTTTTGGCAGTCTGGTTTGCTTGACTAGTCAACACAGGTAGGGAAAACACATTAAATGCTTTTTTTAAAAAAGGAGTCAATTTGCAGTTTGGGGCTTTTTTCTAGTCTTTTGCTAGTGTGGCAGAAAACAGATTTTTCTTGTTTTTTTGTTTGTTTGTTTTTTTAGGACAGAGAGGGTTTTCCCATTGTGTCAGGGATCCAACCCAGGGCCTTGTGCATGCTAGGCAAGTGTAGAGAGACCTTTTATTACTGCTCTGAGCTCAAGATTTTGACCTGTTTGATCTGCGGCCTAACTTTCATAAACACTTGTCTAGTTCTTTTCCTTTAAACTATCAATCATTTAATTAACTGTTCCATCATCTTAATCATTTGTTAGCGGAGCAAACCTAAATTTATATTTCCAAAAGGGATGACTCCCAGGTGTCTAGGTTGTTGGTTGCCATGGAGCTACTGTAGTTTGCAGAGCCATTAATTTGAAAGGCCTCTTTTATTTCTTACCTTGGCTGGAATGCCCTAAGAAAAAACATCTACAGCAACAAAAATTACCAAGAGTACATTCTTGTTTTTGTTTTAATTTGTAATAGCTTTGTCTTAAAATATATCAAAAAATCATCAGATTCAGAGCAGAGGGAAAAATAAAAAGACATAGGTTAAAGTCTCTCCCTGTTAGATCCC